CAAGGTCACGCTCCGACACTAAAACTCGATTCTGCAAGTGCTCCCCGTGATTTCAGCAGAGTGACTTTGCACATATGAGAATGACAGCTTGATTTTCTATACCTCTGCTGCCTCACCTCCAAACACTAACAGAATATTTGCCCTTCTTCCAGGAGCATTTCAGAAAATCCTGTTAAAAACATACAGAGCAAATGAGCGAGATTTATACATCAGGTGGACAAATGCTGACAGCACCTTTATCACTTTTGTCCTAAGTGGTCACTTATTTAAAGTTTTTAAAGTGACTCTCAAGAGATCAGATATTTTTAATATTATCCAAACACTAACTTACACAGTTCTCTGGTAATTTGCTAAATAACTCTAAGGATAAATAATGCCTGAAAAAGTATTTCGTGTTCACATATCTTCATAGAGAAGATGATTCCAAACAATGAGCAGACAGTCTTAACCAGCCTGCTTTGAGTGGGAGGAATCCTGCACAACCTCCAAACCAGCAAAGCTCAACAGAAATTTCATGGTCCATCTTCAGATATAAACTTCAACAACCTTCCTCAACAATCCATTGCTAGAAAGCTCAGAAAGTCATCATTATCATCACCAGTTATTTTTGAAAACTTGGGTATTTTAGAGATGTCTGTAGTCAAAACAGTAAGAATCTATTAATTATTTTCCTTTATTCTTCTATTCAATTGCATCCAATTCTTGTTCCAAAGCTATAGAAGACTCAGGAATTTAAAAGCAAACATATGAAATTACTGTACTGCCAATTAATTGCTTCTGAACTTACATCAACCTGTTTGGGGTAAAAAACACGAATCCTAAGTTTTCCTCCTTCAGTCTCTGCACAACCTAAAAATGTAACAAAAGCAGGTTTGAATTTAGAAGCTTAATTATAAACTTAGCTAAGTGGATTATAATGAAAGATGTTCCAGCAAGGGAGCTCAGACTGATGCATTATGACTACATTAAGGAAAACACCAGAGAATAGACTTTCCATCAGTAGAACAACTTTAATTACAACAGTACTGGAGCAGAACTGCTCTGTTAAACAATGCTGCTCTTACTTCTCCTTCACTCTGAGTACTTCCAATGGACTCCACGGGAACACACTTGACTTTCAAGAATATAAAGTGAATGGGGTTTGCAAACTCTTCCCAGGAACCTGGTTCAGCTAAACACAGCTGAAGCAAAACTTGCTTATTTGCACACAAACGTGGGTGATTCACACTCCCTCAGAAGGGCAGGAGACTTCCAAGGCAAGGACTCAGGAATTTGTGCAAGGCACCATCCTGCCCATGGCACAGCCACCCACAGCCCCCAGGCCCACTGAGAGCAGAAATGATGCTCAGCAACTCAAGAGCTCCCCAACATCTCCCTCTACAAACTGCATTCAGTGTGACCCGAGTGAAATCCAGTCCCTGGAATTCTCAATGGGATTTGAGAGCCACAGACCTTTTGGTGTTGTATCAGCACTCAAAGTAGGGTAATTTACCTTCACAAATGTTCTTCAGGCCATTATCATACCCCAGGCAGCAGGAACAAGTGCAGAGCAATTAAGATCAAAATGCTCAAGACTGTCAATAGGCTTCTCTCCTGAACTCAGGAATTGATTTTATTTTTTTCTGAGCAGCAGAACAGAGAAAGTGTCCAACAACTTTTAAGTAACCTTTTCAGGCTGCTCGTGCAGTTTTATATATTTAATTAAATACAAAAAAAAGGCTGCAGAAACTCAAATCAAACATCTCATCAACACACCAACAGTCACCCTAGAAACTTACAAAGGCCCATTTTTTGGGGGGATAAATAATTTTGGGGAGTTATTTTATCTAGGTTATGTTTACAACCCATACACAATATAGCTGAATGCCTCATGCCAGCCTTCTCAGCCAGCACAGCAGAACACAGCCTGGAAGCTCAGTGATTTCTTCACATTATAGCACATCCTTTCTGTAACAACAAAACTTTATAGCTTTGAGGGACAAAAAAAGTTTCTTTTTGTTTATTTTTCAATGGATAGAGAAAAGTTTGAGTCTATTATCAATACACTGCTCTGCTGAAGCTTTTATCATTGGCAATGGATGAAC